ACGTACAGATTCATTATCTTCCCCTTTTTTCTCTTTTTTATATATGTTCGGATATGCTTAATATCCTCAGAACATGTTACCATGTACTTCCACCTTCGAATTTTACTTCCAAAGGCGTTTGAATGAGCCCCGCTGAGGTATCCTCTTCCCGTAGGTGTAACAAGAGGAACCCGAATCAGTAAAGTGAGTAGGCCACAGAGTAGCACTGAAGGAAGAGAAGCTCGAAGCTCTCCAGTTTTGCCATGTGTTTGCGAATGCGCACGAAAATGGAGAGGTACGTCGTTTGTACACCTTTTGTTAGGAATGTTCACCCACCCATTGAATTTCCAACGATCAGTGAGTATTTTGACCTAGGATGACGCGTCGACATGGTCACTAGAGACGCACTGCAGAATGTCTAATGGAGGTTTTACCATAGAAAATACTGCCTTGCAAGGTGTCACGGGTGCAGAAAAAATACTTCTCTAGGCGTGGACCGACTCTTCGAATGTTTGGTAAACACAAAAGGATATCATCAAAACATTTTATGGGTAATTTTTTCTTGGTATAGGAAATATGTTAAGGAGAATCGTCTTTTTCCATCCTTTCTATATATTCCAATTGAATCATACAAAATGTGGAGAAAAAATACAAAATGATTAAGGCAAAATGGACAGGAACTGCATAAACTAAAAGACTTGATGGTAAATTTTTCATTCAGTATAAAGATATCATTACAAATTATTACAAAGATATGGAGATTAAATCTGTACAGGAAATTTTTGAGAGTCTACAAGGTGCCTCCACATGAAAAAAAGAAAGTGCATTAATATATAGATAGATGTTAGTGTATAAAATATGCATAACTTTGACTCGAATTCTTCTATAAAATTGGATTTATTGTTTTTTTTTTGACATTCTTAACGCGGCCGACTCAGGAGTCTTGATTCCTTTTTGAGGGTTTCACCCTTCACGCGCGATAAATATATTAAGAGTGAACAGGAAGATGTTGATTTTATCTACTTTTTCCATTCCTTCACAAATTAGACGATTGAAATAAATAATCCATGTTGAACTTCTCTCTAACCTCATGAGTATACTGAACATCGAAACGTTTCCAGTTATCGAGAAGCACTAACACTAACTCCTCTTGGCTGAATATAAGCTTGAAAACCCATAGGCTTTGATCTATGACATTGTCAAACTTCCCGAAAACTTTCTGTCACACAATCCACGAACCTTTGAGGATCACAAACATACGCACACAAATTATTTTCGCAATCTCCTGTAGGTTTCTCCTCTGAATACTTAAACTTTCAGTCAAACGCCTCAGGGAAGTTTCCCCGTGGCCCGAACCCATGATTTCAGCGGTTACTTTAGCGGTGGTACTGATCACGATAACGTAGAAATCCCCTGAGGTCCCCACCAGCAACCTACCGACCTTTTTATGGTCAAAATAAGATCGTTCAACCACTTAATCCAGGTGCAACCTAGAGATAAGGTTGGCAGAAGCGCTAAGATCACCTTTCAGCACACGACACCGCAAACCAGTGTCAACATTATCATCAAATTGGTGTGCTTTTGTTTCAAATTACTTTGTAATATTAAAAGGTTGTCTTTCGGAGAAATATGTACGCGTCTGGATGTGTTATGACTCGTTCTCAGGCATTACTCAAGGATGCTAAAAGGCATACTTTCATAACTCTGAAATTGTTCCTTCACTACCTCCATTGTAGTGTCAACCCCGAAGGGAAACTCTATGCAGATCTCATTTTTGCTTATTTTCGTTGTTGTGTAAGTAGAAATACTAATATTGTGTGTTAACTCGTCAATTTATCTTTACAAGAATAATATAAGGGGAATAAATTTAGAAAATGTGATACATCGCATTGATATAGAAACTTCATTTTGAAGGAGAAAAAGTGTCTAAGATATTTTGTGTGATGACAAACACATTTTTATACACCTCCCAGAATGAACATTTCATCGTGCTTTCCCAACGATGCATTGATCGCCAAAAATAAATACTGCATCAAAATAAAAAGTTGAATCAGTAATGAGAACATCTATGAACGAAGACTGTTCACTATAAATATGTATACAAATTTTCACATACTCACTCCCTTTGCTCCCTCTCTGTGGAATAGATCCCTTTGATACAGCTTCGCCCGAATTAATAAAAATTCGTTGACAATCTATGCAGTGTTACAAATTAATAAGAACATTACTTTCGTTTATTTAAGCCTATTAAGTGTAAAGAAATTTGTCGCTTTCCACCTCAACTACACCATATAAGCTCATAATATATATATATATATATATATATGCATCTATAGTTGTTTAAATATTCCTTTTACTCTAACCCTTCCTTTGCTTCGCATTTCATTCATGAAGCACTTTAATACCGCCTATTTGTCGCACGACGTTTCTTCGTCCCTAGGATTTGAGACCCATTAGTACCACTATCCGACCCCGAAGGGGTGCCAGCTCCGCTGCCGAAGGGGATAGTAATGTTGACAGGAGCGGCGAAACCCGGTGCCATTGCAGCAGGGGCTGCAGAAGTAAACCCACCGCTTACCCCATGTCCTGTCGTCGTCGCCGCCGTCGCGCTGAACGTAGTGGAAGTCACAGCAGTGGATCCAAATGGTGAAGCTCCGCTCGTACCGGTGTTAGAATTGCCTCCAAATGAAAAGGGAGAAGAAGTGCCGAAGGTATTGCTGCCCACGCCGCCTCCAAACGTCGCTGACGAAGGCACGCTCGTGGAAAACGGTGAGGAAGAAGCAAGGGGGGCGCCTGGGCTACTGTTCGTATTGGAGTTCCCAAATCCAAAAGACGGCGCCGCCGCAGAGGACGGAGCCGTAGGAGGCTTTGTAAAGGGCGAAGGGGCGGCAAACGGCGCACTCGCGGAAGCAAGGCTCTTCGGGCCCACCTGTGGGCCGCTCGTGGTGTCACCGGGGGTCCCGCCACCTTCGTTCAGCTGGGACACGGCCCCAAAGGGGGAGCCCCCTGTCACAGACGTGACGGTGACGTTACTCGGGGCCGTGGGTTCAAATCCCGAGAATGTGCCATTTTGTAACGGAACCGCGCTGGCAGAGGAAAAGGCGGCGGCCTTGCCAAAGGAGAAGCCAGGAAGCGCGGCAGGGGTCACCGGGGCGACGCCACCGCCGGACTTGACGGTTTCGGCAAACCCAACCGCCGAGGAAAAGGCAAAAGGCCCTAGCGGGGCCCTCCCAGTCGATTCCGCAGGCGGTGGGATCACCCCGGACAATTCAGACTTTCCAAAGGAAAAAGTCGTGGAAGAAGGTACCTCGGAAGCACCATTTTGTTTTGTGGTGGTAGGGGTGGTAGAATCGGGTGGATTACCGGACTTTTCCGCCTGCGGTTTGTCTCCTGAAAAAAGGCTATTCGTGGACGAACTGGCCAGTGCCGTGGGGCCTGTGTTCGGAGTTCCAGTAAAGGCTCCCCCTCCACCAAACGGATTTGACATACCGCCGCTATTACCAAAAGCAGCCCCCGAGGCTGTTGAAGAAGCCACATTGGAAGGAGGCTCCACGGAGAACGCACCCCTAGTCTTATTCTTGTCTGTGGTATCATTATCGCCGCGGGCACTCGCGGCGCCATTGGCTGCAGGTGTAGGTGCCGTATTGGGCTTCATAAAAGGATTTGTAAAGGCCTGAAAAGCATTCCCACTCATAGCGTTTTCAGTCGAAGCTTGAGATTGCGAGGAAAGATTGTTTATGGGCTTTGAACTCTCCCCCTTCCCCGTTTCTTGGGTTTGTGATGACAGGTGTGATAATCCCGGTGCACTCACAGGTTTTGCCGAGTTCTCGAACTCGAAGTTGTTAGTTGTAGAAGTATTCGGCACTAAATTCAAAGGGGTACTATCAAACCCAGGCTTTCTACTATCGGAAATGCTAGTGGTTGTCTCGCCAAAAGGCTTCGCAGACAAAGCGAACTCACAAGAAGCGGCGCCCATAGCGGGTTGCTTTCGATTAATTTGCTCTGTTATCTTTTCTAGAGCTACCATAAGTTGCTGAACGTTACCTTCAAGTTTTATTGTACACCCCTGCATTGATGTCAAATTCGCTTTCACAGAGCCCATGTCGCTTTGAATACTAGATACCTCCCTTTGCGATCTATCCTGTCCTTGTCTAAGCTCTAAGATACGGTTGACGACCTCACTCTTGAAACCATCTAACTTTCCAGTCAACGTTTCCATGAATTCGGAGCTGCTCTTCTCCAGCTTCGTGATCGTCCCCTGCTGCTGCTCTAATTGCACTTCCACTCGCGAGAGGGACTCCCCGAGGCGATTTAAATCGCCTCGCAAAACGTTCGAAGTATTTGGATGAATAGAGAAAGCAGATGAGGAGGACTTGTTTACATCCTCGGTTCGGCGCATCTTTGGCAATCGCAGCATCGACGCGTATCGGCTACTTTCACCATTTCCATGCCCTACCACGGCTCCGTTGAGGGATTCGCATCCCCCCCTTTCATAGCCCTCGGCGCTATTTTCGAACGGGGAAGGTAAAAAGTCGAGATGGGGAAGTGGGCCTTGACATTCGGGCTCATACGGGCTTCGGAATCGCTTGCCGAGCCCTCCCAGGACGTTCACAAAGTGGGTCGGGGTTTGGGAGGGAGAAGGAGTCAGCAAAACCGGCTCCCCCCGCCGAGGCCGGAGAGCGGAGGCGAGCTCGTGAAGGGGGTGCTCGCCATCGGAGGCGGAGTCCTCCCCGGCGATGGAAAGCGGCTTTGCCGGTCTCATCGTCTCCTCACGCCGCGAGCGTTTATAATCCAAAGGTGCTCGACTCACCCCCTTCGATGTAGTAACAATGAAGGAAAAACTTTAGAAGAAAAGCGTTAGAAGGGAGATGAAGTAAATGTGGACATTTTGAAACAATGGAGAAAAAAAATGGTATACCTTTGATTGACTAAGTTTGAAATGCATCAATGATGTTGTGACTCCTTTCTTTCGCCCTATATTGGTCTTTTTTACAATATCAATTTGTCACTTTTCCCCATCCTCAGCTGCAGTGATACCACAACACTGCCGTTTGTTGGAGGGGATTTAAGATTACATAACTGTAGTTGAGATTGCTAGGAATACGGCCGTCTGAACGTGGAAACAGCCGCAGTGGCTCCACATCGTGAACGTGAAAAACCTGAGAGAGAACCTCCGGTGTGTATTTCACCGTAGCTCCTTGAACACTATCGAGATCATCAACCTTTCGAGAATTATCTTTGTCAGACGCAATCCCTAACTCATCACTCTTTTGAATTTGAATAGAGGTTATGAGTCGACGGTATAACTCGCGCACTGCATCGCGATAGACAACAAAATCATCTTCGAACTGATTCATAGCGCCTCCTCCTGCTACTAAGCGCCATGCTAAGTGATAAATAAACTCCCGCCGATCCTCCGCGGTATATGCAGTGCGCAAGGTGCACCTGGGAAACTTGTTATCACCACATGACCCCATCATTAAACCGTAGTATGGATCATCCTCATCGTCCTCTTCTGCCTCGTCTTCGCACCCCACTACATTGTTGGCAGCAAAGTGCTGATCAGAACAACTGCTAACATGCTGCTCATTGCGAGTATTAGCCTGTAAAAACAATGCTCGCACCTCATCCGAGATGAACATTTCATTTGGTAGCATCTCCTCCATACGCTTGGTGATCGGCAGACGTGTAGTCTCAAAACGATTCGGATTAGCGCCGTTTCCTTTTAACGTATCGCCATCGAACACCCGACGTACCGCCTTCACACGAACAAGCGCATCAATCAGATGATCCAAATTTACCCATTTTGTGCACAATAATGTATAGGCGACCTCCGACACCACCAAATTTGTTGATTCCCCTTCTGAAGGGTGTTTAGGATGACAGTAACCAGCCTGCCGTAAGGAATCCTGAACTACTGGACTAGAAAAAAAGTTCTTTAAGAAATCTCCAGCTGCACTTTTATCGAAGTGCAAAGGAGACGACGAGCTACCCGACGTCGAGGTAGGGTTCAAGCTGTTCCTGTTAATGGGTCCCTGTATCCCCTCTTGGGGATCGGATAGCGGTAAATCACACGCATTGGCAACATCGTTTGATGTGGTCTGATAATTAAAAGTTTTCAGAAGCCAGTTTCCAGCCCCCACACGGAGACCCCATTTTGAAAGTAGGTTTTGCAAGTCTCCATATAGCTTGTCAGCTAGAATATCGCTATTGCTGACTGAAAAGCTAAAGTGAAAGGGTGTTATGGACATATTGAAATAAATATTAATGATGCGCCAAAATGCTGGTTCTTCAAAAGCTTAACTGTTTAGGAAACCCTCAAGTTAACTTTTGATCTATGTAATTGTTAAATAGTGTTTTACTGTAAAGGGCAGTAAAAACTCGATGAAAAAATTAGTAAAAATATAATAATGTGAGTAAGTATATTAAAATCATGGAAACCAGATATAAAAAAAAATGAAAATCAAAAAAACATTATTAAAATCAGCATTATGATAAATGAATATTATAATTGAATAACCAAGTATTCATTGAAACCTATCAACTTTGCTTCGTATTATGGCACTCGGAAAAAAAATAGTTCTTATTCACATATTTATACTTCATTTATAAATAAAAGAAAAAAAAAAAGCTCTAATATATATATATAATTCATAATAAGCTTAATCTTCAACAAATTTAAATGAGTAAATGGAGCATAGTAATGTTGTCCTTCCATAAATTAAAAATATACGGCAATTCTTTTCTGATTTTTCCCATACCTTTATATATGGGAAAAGACTATGAATATAACGATTACAATTTGGGAAATCGCCTATAATAAGACTCTCACATTGGTGATCCCAATAGTATCTCGATGATGCCTTTGACGGTTGAGCAATGCAAGATGATATTTAAGCATAATGCAAATGGTTCCAGACATCAACTCCACTCCAGCCTCAATCGGATTCAGCTTGGAGATATCAAACCTATCCTACTTATTGTTATACCCATGAAAGCAAAAAAGTTGTAAACGGTGAGGGTACATGCCCCAGATCGCTTGTTATTTTAACACCATCTATACGTATCGTTTGGTTTTCGGATGGAGATAAATAAAAAAACATCGTCGCTGATTAAATCAAAGCCCAAAAACAAGGAAATGGTTCCTGTGCACTCACAAAGAAAAACAGCCCGTATGAGCATCATATCATCACGCGTTAATGTAGGATCACGGTTAATCCCTGTTATTCACAAGCACCATTCATTCCCAATACCCTTTCTCAGTTAACAGATCTGATATCCATCATATTATGACCAAACAGCCATCCGTGGCATGATAATAAATGACCTATACACAAGGGAAACATGAGTAAAAAAAACTTGTGCTTCCTAATCAATTCCACAGTTTGAAATACTGTAAACTGACCAATATAATGACCTTCAGAATACACCGCTTCGTTTAGTGCAACGTGAGTAACCTTGACTGAAATAATTAAAGAAAAGAATAATGAATTAAGCTAATATACACACCTAAGAAATACTTCTCATGTCAGGCGTGTGAATGGATAATCTACGAAAGTATAAAGTGACAACAGAAAGGAAACTAAATTTATGGAAAGGAATAAATGCTTTGAATGTCCATGCAGGAATGAAAAATAGCAAGTATTTTTCACGGATTGTAATTAAAGTAAAAAAAGGCAATGAAGTCAATTGATTAGCATTATTCCTTCACTAAGCATTTCTCAAGTATATTAAATAGAAATATATATAGAAAAGAGTCCATTTTTTGAGAATTTATACCTTACAACTTTCTCTAGAAAATACCACTTAATCCATCCATCATTAGCAATAATTGTTAATGGTAATTATTTTAGTATCAATCTTATTAGAAACAAACGTAAAAAATTTACTTAAGT